TGGTTTTTCGAGACAGGGTTTCTCTGTGTAGCTTTGCGCCTTTCCTGGAACTCACTTGGTAGCCCAGGCTGGCCTCGAACTCACAAAGATCCACCTGCCTCTGCCTCCCAAGTGCTGGGATTAAAGGCGTGCGCCACCAGCGCCCGGCTTAAAAAACTATTTTTAATAATGATTTAAAATGTAAATGTTTCTGCCGGCCAGTGGTGGTGCAAGCATTTAATCCCAGCACTATGGAGGGGGGGGGGGCACAGGCAGGCGAATCTCTATGAGTTCAAGGCCAGCCTGGTCTACAGAGTAAGTTCTAGGACAGGTTCCAAAGCTACACAGAGAAACCCTGTCTCGAAAAAAAAAAATGTTTCTAAGAATAAAGACAGTTCTTATTATACATATTTTGCAGAATCCTGGGTTTTAGAAGAGGATGAATAGTCTTCAATAACTAGTCAATCCAGATAGGGAAGGCATCGTTAAGGATGATCTGTCTCCTGTGTTAAGACTGAATGAGGCTGAGGATGGTCTTGGTGGTAGAGCACTTGCCTAGCATGCACAAGGCCCTGGATTTAAACCTCAGCACACAGAAGTAAATGTCACTAAGACGGGCTTTTCACTACCACAGCAGTACCATCTTGATGACATTTCCAGGGATGTTCTATGGCATTCCAAACCTAATTTGAATAATATTTTTTCTTGCTTGTCATTTTGGTGATCCAAATGAACTATAGATTATCAGTGCACCAGAATATATAGAGCTATTTGGCTTGACCCTAAGTCTTTCATGGTCCCAAGCTCATGATAATTTTGTCGTCATTCCCAGATTTCAGAAGTTCTTCAAGAGAAAGCAACCAGGTTTATAATTTTATATTTTATTTTTCAACTAAATATATATGTTAACTATTAGTTAATTACTTGTGAGTTTCCAGAGGGGGAACGCTTAGTTTCCCTTAAGCGTAAATAGATTTTACCTGTATCAGTGACCTGTAATAATGTGTAGTTTTCATTATTTTGATATGCAGTTATACAACATGCAAAAGTAGATAAACAATAGATTTTTAAAAGAATTATCTCCTGCTGAGATGTTGAATTGTCTCTTGTCCTTTGGGATAGGAGTTGCGAAAGGTCTATATAGTTATGCCCTTAACGTCCAACAAGAGAGGAAAAGGTGCAAAATCGATAATTCACTTTAAGGACTGCAGAGATGGCTCAGCCGTTAAGAGCATGCACTCTTCTTGCAGAGGACCTGAGTTCAGGTCTCAGCAGCCACCCTGGGTAGCTTACAGTTGCCTATAACTCCATCTTTAAGGAAATCCTATACCTAACCTCCTCGGACACTTGGATGCACATGCACAGATGTACACATAAAAAATGTTTGTTTTTTAAAAAATGCATTTGCTTTTTTAAGTTTAGTTCGGTCACAGGCACTGGTGAATGTGTGCATGAAATGTCAGTCTCTTGCCGTGTTTAGAAGGCAAACATCTGGGCTAGTGAGATGACTCAGCAGGAGGAGCAGCATGCCGTCTCGATGACCTCCAAACTGGACCCCCAGAACTCAGGTAAAGACAGGAAAGAACTGCTTCACGAAGTTGTCTTCTGACCTTCACACATGCGCCCCCACATACATTATACACACATGCTCCCCCACATACATTATACACACATGCTCCCCCACATACATTATACACACATGCTCCCCCACATATATTATACACACATAATTACATTAAAAAATTTAAAACAAATTTACTTCAGAGCTAGACTTAGTGGACTATGTTTGTAATCCCAGCACTCAGAGGTCTAAGCAGGAGAATCAGGAGTTATAGGCTAGCCTGGGCTAAAAGCAAGAGCCCCTTTTCAGAGAAAAAAAAATGTTTAGAATCTTCTCCAGGTTAGTTATTAATATAAAATTCTGAGAATAAACCTATATAGAAACATCAGTGGGTAACTTCATGCTTTCGGGACATACTACCTTAACCTTCACGACAGGTCCATTAGTACAGTCATCCGCAGGGCTTATTTTTAACACAGGGTCCTGCTAAATATCTCTGATTGACCCCGAACTCACTCCATAGCCCAGGCTGGCCTCCAGTTGATAACAGGCCTGCTGATTAGTTTTGTGAGTACTAACATTAAAGGTGTGAGCCACCATGCTTGGTTAATCTGCATTTTACACACGACCAAACAGAAAGTTAAAACACAGAAATTTATCACAATCGTTTAAAATGTATACATTCAATAGAGTTAACTTGTTCACATTGTTGGTTGTGAGTTCAAGAATGAAATATCTAACCATGGGGCTGGAGAGATGGCTCAGAAGGTAAGAGCACCCACTGCTCTTCCAGAGGACCAGAGTTCGAATCCAAGCATTCACATAGTGGCTTACAAACATCTGTAACTCTAGTTCTTCAGGATTTTGTTTTGTTTTGTTTTTTGAGACAGGGTTTCTCTGTGTAGCTTTGGAGCCTTTCCTGGAGCTCACTCTGTAGCCCAGGCTGGCCTCGAACTCACAGAGATCCACCTGCCTCTGCCTCCTGAGTCCTGAGACTAAAGGCGTGCGCCACCACTACCCAGCCAGTTCTTCAGGATTTTACACCCTTTTCTTGTCTCTCACACACACGGTTTGCAAACATACATGCAGATAAAGCCTCCATACATGTAAAATAAAATTTTAAAAAATGTCTGACCACAGTCAAATATAATTTTGTAAATTTAAATATTATAATAAACATACCATATCAAGATTACTATAAAGAACTATATTGTGTGAATGTAGTAATTAGCTGAAATTAGTTTTCTTTTTGCCTGTACTGTTTTCATTAAGCATATTTAATTTTTTAAAAAAGAGCTATGTGTATGGGTGCTTTGCCTGCAGTGCCTGTGGCGGTCAGAAGAGGGCGTCGGGTCCCTGGAACTGGAGTCGTAGATGGTTGTGAGCGTGCTGGGAACTGAAAGAGCAAGCCCCAAGCGCTCTTAACCACTGAGCCATTGCTCCAGCTCCAAGCGTAAGTCTAATTCTTGGCTTGTATTATGAGAGACTAACTCACAGTCTTACACTGGAAGAATAGGTCTGACTCAAAGAGTGAGAAGGAAGTAACAGATGCCAGACTTCTGAAAGATTCATACAGGTACAGTTTGGACAGAACTACTGGACTTACGTTAGTAAGAACTGAAGAAGAGCTCTGTGGAAAGTGCGCAGAAGTTTTCCACGGTAGTGCCGTGTAAGATCTCTCGATCCAGCCTTTGCGCCATTTACGGACACTAAAACATGGAAAGAACAGAAATATATTTGAACTTGTGTTTGCAAGACATTGCGCCGTTCTGTTGTTTTTGTGGATTCTTTTATGTTTTCTGTTTGTTTCTTCATACCACCGTCTGTGCTCTGTGCTTACAGAATCCGCTTAAATCTGTTTGAGTGGCCCTGATTTACATGCTGTGGGAAAGGTAAGGACTGATTGAATGGAGTGCAGTTGGGCTGTGGCTCGCTAGAGGGAGTCAAGGAGAGAGAGACAGGAAGAGAGCGGGAGAAGACTTGGTTAAGTTTGTGAGTGCGTGCCCCGAGAGGAGGAGGGGCGGGCTTGCGTGTGGCTGCTCCACCCTCACGTTGTCAGCAGGTAGAGAGCGTGATTGCTGTCCCAGGGGAGGGAGTCAGAGCTAGAACACCAATTACCAACCACAGGCTTCCTGCTGTAGGGAGCTGATCCAGAATTGTCGTTCTGGAAAGGAAGCACTGAATCCTTCCTTCTTCTGAACTTCCCAAGTCCATCCATGATTCAGAGATACCGCCTTCTCCCTCTGGGATTTTCTGTGTTTCTGGTAGTGAATTGTTGTATTTACTGCTTCGTTGTCTTTCAAGAGCTGATCATTTAATATTCTTTACCGAGGCGGGGGGACTTTTGTTAGATTTCAGAGATGATTTTGGATCTTCTTGAAGCATTTCCAGAGTTCTTGAGGACAGTAGCTCTCGTCCTGGAATAAGTTTCTACCTTTGATCTGCGTGGATTGCTTTTTCGGGCTTCCGAGTTTCTCCGCACCTACCTGTAGTGCGGGCGGGCACTTGGGCTGACTGCAGAGCGGAGCTGGAAGAGAGCCGCTCTGGGTTAAGCAGCTCAGATCTTTTCAAAGCAGGATTTATAAAAGCATAATTGAATTTGTTTCACCCCCGTGGATTCCAGTGGGCCCGACAGCGCAACAGGTTTGCAGATTTCTTTTGAAATTCTTTTTTTGTTTTCTCCCTCCCTCTGTCTTAGCAAAAGTAAGGAATCTGTATAGCAGGTTCACGCTCAGTTGCTTGGCTTTTTGGCACTTCTGAAGACTTTGTAGGATTTTTTAAACTTGGCCTCAGAATGCAGCAGGCTTTGTGGATGAAGTGCATGTATAGTTACTTAAGCGTGCGCATTTTAAAATCTGATGTTTATACAAGAATCTGAAGTTTCATAGGAGCCTAGAAATACCCCGATCTCCTCTACTCTGCTTTATTTCCCCCTCTCCCCCCTCCCCCGCCCCCCAGGGTGCTTAACTTAGAGCCTGTGACTAGCCACCCCCCACTCCTCCTATCTTTTATTCCCCACCCCCTCAAGGAATTTGAAAACGTGTTAGGAATAGTCCTTTGTTTTTCTTCTGAATCCTGAAGATTACAGATTCTAAGGTCTGGATATTAGTCTCCACAGCATGTTGAGGAAAGTCAGAGTGCTTGATATTCTCAAACTGGAGAATAAAATCTGGAATCCCTAAGCAGGAAAGGAAAGTGGAAACAGAAATATGAATTTTAACTGGGAACATACCTGGAAAGTTAACCTCAACAAGTATCTCAATATGGAAGTTGGGAGAGATTTTGGTATTCAGATTTATTCTGTCCTATGTCAAAGATATATGAATTTGTGCCAAATTTTACAGGCACTTTTGGCGGAACACAAAAAAGTATATTGAAGTTCTTAAAAAGTATATAAATTCAGTGGGCCTAGAACTCTGGGCTAGGCTGAAATCCAATCTAGCATGGACATTTTAATGCATTCATGCTGTAGCAGCCTTAGACATCCCTCCAGGTGTGGCCTGATTAATTTCCACTCTTCTCCTATTAAGAAGAAAACCCTATCGTGGTCTTTCGTCATTTAAAATTGACACTTTTTCTGGCTTAAAAGGGGCCATCTCTTCATGTTCTGAGCCGGAGCTCTTCACTGGCACCTGTGATGCCCTGCCTTGGCTGTCCCCTGGGTTTCTGTTCACCAACATTGGGTTTAGTGCCTCAGAAAGCCGATACATATGGAAGACCATCAGCAAGTGATCTGACAACCAATTCATGCTGGATCTAAAGCACCTTTGGAAAGTTCAGCGGGCAGTGGTGGTGTTTCTGTATCCGGAGACAATGGGAGACAGTGATATACCGGCCCCAGAAGTGGGCTGAAGAATACCCTCTTTTCCTCTCCCAGTCCGGAATGCTATCTGTGCTTGGGACCACACTGTAGAAAAAGGAAGGACCAGGATTCTGACTCGGCTTTCTGAAACTGAAGCGCATCTTTCCCCCTCCATTTGCCGGATCTGAGAACCTGCCTTTGGGATTAGCTGGTGGCAGCAGTATGCATGGCCGAGGAGCATTGATGCAGCTGGTAGCATGAGTGGTGGCCAGCAGCTGCAGCTGGCTGCCCTCTGGCCCTGGCTGCTGATGGCTACCCTGCATGCAGGCTTTGGACGCCCAGGACTGGTGTTGGCGGCAGCAGTGGAGTCTGAAAGATCAGCAGAGCAGAGAGCTATTATCAGAGTGATCCCCTTGAAAATGGACCCCACAGGAAAACTGAATCTCACTTTGGAAGGTGTGTTTGCTGGTGTTGCAGAAGTAACTCCAGCAGAGGGGAAATTAATGCAGGCAAGTATACCTTTATTCCATTTTACCTTTATTCCATTTTACCTTTATTCCATTTTACCTTTATTCTATTTTACCTTTATTCTATTTTACTTTCCATCTGTTTGAAATGATGCCCGTTTTTTCTCTTGTCTGACAAACCAAAACCCATGCAAGCGTTAGCTCTGCTTCCTTCTACCGCTTAGCTTTGTATTGCTTCATTCTTGTGAGAAATTGCTTTATTGGCAGTCTAAAGCAAATTCTCATTTTATACTTGAAGAAATATACACATTCTGTATTTTAGAAGATAATTTGCTCATTTTAACTGGTTTTGCATAATCTTTTGAGGTATACATAATAAAAATTTTCTTCACAAATATGTATTTGGGGCACTATTCTTGATAGTTCAGAAATACAAATATGTATTTAATAGATTTGAGGAATATAGTGTACATCCTGTTAAAATGTAAATGTTAGTTTTAATGATCAGGAGCACCCTGAAATTCTAGACTGCCCTTGGAGCATATTTGATTACAGTGTCACTTTTAAAATTCAGTCAAGCTCGGACACTATGGCTGGCTTCCACCACGTGTGGCACCCATTGCTAATCCTCACATGGAGAGGTCTAGGTCACAAAATGGACCCAAAGTGGGAACCTGCCCCTGCTCCTTCTGGACCAGTTTTAAAGTGTACAGTTCACAACTTTAAAAGTTTATTTGATATATATTTTTTGAACTCACAGAGCTTTTCCTGACACAATTTTGTAGGCTTCCGGGAGGTAACTCATTCACAGACTATTCTTTTCGTGTTGAACTTAACTTACTGGGGCCATTGGCTTCCATAGACCAATTGCTCATTCCTACGGTGAGGACAGCGCGTGGTGAGCTGTGCCTTTTTAATGGGCAAGCTACTGTCTTACTTCATAAAAAGATGCTGCTTATTTATTAAAACCCATTTGGCAAAATGACACTCCTTGCTGTGGCCATTGGAGGCAGGCTGGCTTAGGCGAGGGGTCTCGGCATACAAAGTCAGATTTTCATTTTGTGAGATGTGTGGACTATGAATTTTAGTTCATAGTCATATGAATTAAAACAGAAAGAAGGTAAGAACATGAAATAAATTACAGAATTATTTTTCAAACATGAAAACTTTAACTAGTCATGGTGACCCCCATGTCTTTAATCCCAGTGCTCAGGAGACAGAGGCAGATGGATCTCTTTGAGCCTGAGGCCAACCTGGCCTACATAACAAGTTCCAGGACAGCCAGGAGACAGAAAGAGACCATGCTTTTAAAAAAAAGAAAAAGAAAAAAGCATGTTTATATATGGTTTAGTGGTTCTGCGTTGTGCTTCTTTGGCTGTATTTTGAAACTGGAATAAAGGAAGAGGATAAAGAGTTGAAGTAGAAGGTTCTCCTGGTTGGAAAGACAGACTGACAAATGCCCTTAAATCTGACGTGTGTGAGGGGCTAGCATCTACATTAGGCTCTGGGATGGGATTAGGCGTATTTAAAAGCTGGGGTAGTAACTCACTGGGGACAGAGTGGTGTGACCTTGTCTCCCTGGGGTGCCTGCTGCGTTGTGAATTTTAGCATAGACAGTTTTACCATTAAGCCATCTGTTTGTATCTCTGTAGTCTCAGGGAGCCACACTCAGATCCTGTGACAGATGTTCAGTAACTTAGTGATCTGCTCCGAGAGACGGCGGCCTCCGTCAGGTCACATTGCTTGTTTTCTGTTCGGAAAAACTCTGGCCTAAAGCGTCTGTGTTTTCCTAAAGGGAATGGTACCTGAGAAGGCCTGGTAATGCCTGTGCCACCATTATTTTGTCAGCCTTTCTTGTATCTTCTCTTATTCTGCCTTTAAAAACCACTAACCTCCAGTGTTCTCTAAACATTGCCTAGCGAACTCTGGGAACAGGATCCTTGTCGTTCGATCCTTGGAAGAACTTCCAGCTTTCTCAGTGGACAGCTGTACATCACTGACGATTTCCGGGCTTTTCTTTTTCTGTCCATGTGTGCTTCTTTTAGGTTTTTCAATACTTTTTATGGTGGCTTAGTATTAGTCACTGAGTATGTCTGTTTGGGTCCTGTTACACTCTCTGTGAATCAATTTTTTTAGTCCACAGCAGTTAACTACATTTTCTTAATCACTCCTGAAGACAAACTATTTTTTTTAAATAAACCTTGTAAGATATATATCCTTATACATTATTTGATTAACTCTTTCAAAGAGCTCTGGTGTTAGGGACACTTGGTTTGTGCGTCTAGAATCCATGCTGTTTGCTCCTTATCAGATTACACTGCAACCCAGTTTACCCTTGGGACTGGTTCACCCAGCCTTCCCTCGGAAGTCCTGCCTCTGGCCCTCCGTGTGCACCGTGGCTGTCTTGGTAGATGCTGTGTCCCCATAACCCAGATGGATCAGTCCTTGTGGCCTTCTGCCTATGAATTGTTCCTATTAATCTCTAAAGATTCAATTGGGTCTTTGTAAAAGTGAAGTACTACATACAGGAAAATTGATTTAAAAAAATGGTTAGAAAAAAGAATAATCTTTTCCATTTTCCCAAATTAATGCAGGATGCATACACCTTCATGAAAACCAAATTAATTGGATGTCATTGTTTTGCTTTTTGTTGTATTTATTGTATTTCATTGTATTGCCTTTTAACTTTCCTTAGACAGATGGAGCCGTCCCATGACAATGCACCCCCTTTTGTTTAAGAATAATATGGACCATGCAACTGCCTTAAAGATAATTTTCTTTTTCTCAGCTTTTTCTGATGGTTGTAATTCTCCATCATAAGCATTTAAAGACATAAGCATTTAAAAGCCAAGCAGTGATGAATTTTTGTCTAGATTCTTACTTCTCACTCCCTATGTTTAGATTTCTCCTTGGTAGCAGTAATGTCTGGGGTCTGTTTCTCTCTGTGTGTCTGTTTTTCCTCGTGTGTGTGTGTGTGTGTGTGTGTGTGTGTGTGTGTGTGTGTGTGTGTGTGTGTAACCCAGGGCCTTCCACATGCTGGGTAGATGTTCTGCCATTGACGAATGTCTTCTCCAAGTCCTGGAGGGAAGTTGAAGGAGGCGTTGTCTTTGCTGCTGCTGCCGTCTATTTCTCATCTTCTCGATCTTTCTCATCTTAGTCCTGAACGATTATATTCCTGCTTTGCCCTGAAGTCTTTTCTTGGAGTTGCTGTGCCATGAGGACCTTCCTGATGTTAGCCATCGTCTTTGAAGTGGCCAGCTCTCGGGTTCCCTCTGCAGATGCCAAATCTTTCCTCCTTCCTCTTCCTTTCCTTCCGCCTTCCCCGCTGGTCTCCCATTCCGTTTGTATACTTAGGTTCACTGACCACTGCCACTCAGGACAGCCGTTGTTTTTAACTAGCCCTCAAAACCAAAACAAAGCAATGGGTGGAGGAGACTTTCAAGCCCTCCTAATACTTGGTGGTGATTTATAAAGAGTATTATTACATGATGGTGATTATGGGTTGGGGATTTAGCTCAGTGGTAGAGCGCTTGCCTAGCAAGCACAAGGCCCTGGGTTCGATCCTCAGCTCAAAAAAACAAAAAACCCAAAAAAACAAAAACCAAGAAGCATGATAGTGATTACAACCTCTATATATTATTTGTTTCCTGATCCCCCCACTGCTGATGGAAAATACCCTAGAACTGAGCACTGTCTGATTTCCTGTTTTCTGTCTTGCTTATAATTAATTAACGTTTGTGTCTGTTGTTATTACCTAGCCATATTTTGATGCCACATCTATACACGGTTGTCCTCATATTTTCTTTTAAGTATTAGAAGAACAACTCCAGGTGGTCTCTGAGCAAAAGAATACGAAGATCTTAGTGTAGCACTTGGGAGGTCACCAACTCTCTGGCTGTCGCTGTTTTCCTGCTCAGCTGGTTGTCCTGGATTTTCTTAGACTCCAGGATAAAGTTATGATCAAGATTAGAATGTGTTGCCTGGAGGCAGCAGCCTGCAGTGGGAGCCGAGCCTGGGGTGGTTTCACATTTGGCCCCAAACAGGGAGTGCCTCCTGGACAGATTCCCTTTGCCAGTGTCTGGACTTGCCTGCTCGTCTTACCTGTCCCTGCGCGCGCACACTTACCCCCTTTTGAATTTTCACTTTATTTGTATTGAGCACCAGAAACTTTCAGATTGGAGTTTTTGGCCGGTGTCAGCGAGACAATCCTCTCTTGCAAGCTGTAAACCTTAGGAGCTAACTGACCCCACTTAGTTATGGGATTGGAACAAAGTAGCTTTTACCTCGGTGAGGGTCAGGTCCCTTGTCTGTGCCAGTGAGGGATTTGAATACAATAGCTACCAAACGGATACTGCACGTTTTATATGTGTTAGCTCAATGAATTATCACCATCACTTTATGAGAGAACGTGTTCTAAACCTGTTTTCTCACATTTTTACAGAAAAGGAAACTGAGGACTTAGTATCTCTAAGGTAATAATTAGTGAGTAATTGGCATACTGGAGCTTGAACTGCAGGGCCCCGTGGTTCTTCAGCTGTTAGAACACCAGAGTGCCACTGTCAGAGGCTGAGGCTGGACACACAATATTCGACTACCTTCTAATGATTTCTGTCTTTCTATTTTTCCTCATTTTGAGTTTGATTTGCAGAAAAGTGAGTCAACCAGAGTGTTTATCCAGTATTTCCATTACATTACCTTTCTATTCATTTTAAAATGTGATGACTACTAACACAGGAACGCAAAAAATAAATTTTGAAATAGTATGCATTTAATTGACATTGCTTAAGTGAGTTCCTTGGATGCAGATTTCAGAGTAGATTTTATGATTTTTTTTTTTTTTGGCTTTGCTGCCAGCCTTTAAAAGAACTACAGAGTAAATATTCAAGGTACAGTCAACTCTCAGTTATTCATGTTAATGGAGGTGTAGAAAAGATAATTAATAATTGACTTTGGAATGTAGTTAGAAATGCCCTATCAGATACAAAGTGAGCCCAGATATGAGTCCTGCTCAGGGCCTTCTGGATTTGGCTTTGTGTTACAAA